CTATTAAGCTCAGCATACACATTCATCAATATCTTCACACCTAGATCTGTGTCCATGCATGCCTTCATAATGTTCAGTATTTTTGTATTTTAATTTTTCCTACACAGAACAGATTAATTTTGCTGTGTCAGGATAAGAGCAAGTTAAGGGTTACTCGATGAGGCCAGGCAATTAACAAGTTACTAGCCATTTCCCTAAAAAACGTTGCCAACCCATGAAAATGTTTCCTTCCTTTGTGAATTTGAATTTATGATTTTATAAATACATAAACCAAGAGTCAATGTTCAGTAAACTCATTATAAGTTCTAATAAAAATAAATAAAAAATATTAAAAAAACAAAAACAATTTCTTATGTAAGTGAAACATTTTTGTATACTTAGCAATTATTATTCATTGTTAATATCTTAAGATTTGTGAAATCAAGCCTTGTGATACCAACCTTTACCATTTGTGTTATTCATTGTACGAGTATTTTGTTCGAGCAGAAACATTTTAGAAAGACACTGTAAGCAAGTTCATTGAATCTCAACCACCATTTGCATAAGGTTGAAGATCTCCGCTTAGCTAAAGCACACACACCATTATAACAAGGTTAGGTACACATAGGGCTTATCTGCATGGATTTACACCGCGTGGAACTCGGTGGGTGGTAGCCGAGCGATGTTCTAGCCCCTATCAATCAGTATTATATAAATATGGGCTAAGGACATATATTCATTATATACATTCTATCACCCAGACTATTGAGAATAAAGCTACATAAGCATTTGTTCTGTCACACCTCCTAGGGTGGACAGCACACATAAACATTTGTAGTTTCACACAGATTCAGGTTACAACCCATAAATATATGTCCCCAGGCCTCCGTGAGAGTAGGCCTGTGGAGTGTAGCCTCTTATCTCTGTGTTGACGTATAGATTACATACCTCCTTACAAGCAGACAGAGAGAGGTTCGCCTAGTTCACAGTTTCACACAGTTCACCAGTTCACAGCCAGGCACCGTACCAAAGAGACGTGTGCGAGTATAGCTCCCAGGCTGAATATCTCTCTAATTATATAAGCTAAATGCAAGCTAATAGCTAATGCTCAGTAGTCTGTCAACAAACAATTCTGTAACTACCAGAGCATCCAATATAACTAGAAAATCACCACGTGTGTTTACATTAAACCAAGGAACCACAAATGAGGATAACAGAACCTGTGTACACTTGTGTATACTTACAAGCTAAGATAATTACAAGTGTAACCCAGGTGGGCTTGGACGACTCAACGACTCAAAACTACGACTGTATCAAAGGTGACACGCCGTGAGACTCCTATTATCTCACCCAGCTTCATCAAAGGTACCAGCGACTACTCTACACTCATTCAGGCAAGTGTTAACAAGTGAGATCGTTTGATATCAAACCCCGGCCCAAACACAACACTACGTCTATAATACAGCCCATGGACCAAGAATTGATCTGTAATGTGAAAGCTGCATTCTCTGCCAAGAAATTTAAGCTCCTGAACGACTACACCAACACCAAGGAAGAGTTGCGTAGCCTGAGTGACACCGATAGCACGAGCGAAGACGACGAGGAACAACAGTTGGCAGAGCAAGAAGTACTTGTGAAGCAATTTTGGAGAACATTCAATGTCAAGAAAGCTGTGGACTTCTTGGTGGAGGCATGGGATCAGCTGTCTGTAGCAACTGTTCGTCACGCATGGAGACACGTGTTGCAAGGTATTCCGGATGGGAGGCAGAGTAAATCTGTGACTGGTGAGGTTCAGACTGTTGCAGTAGCAGTGGACCTTGCCAGAGAAGCTGCGCAGAGTGTTACAGCTGCAAGCTTCTCCGAGACCACCAACGACGACATCCTGGAGGTGATAAGGGATCCTGATGTGACTACCGACGAGATGCTAGATGATGATGACGTCAGTGAAGAGGCAGGTGGTGCGTCATCCCAAGAAGAACACGAGTTATCCCATAGTAATGTAAGGGGTGCCATTGAGTGTATTGAGAAAGTCAACCTCCTCCTTTCTGACGACCCTGACGATAACTGGTACGAAATCTTCACTACCCAGCTGTTGCAGACTATGGAGCACCTACATCAAGGTGCATCACGACAACATAAACACCAGCCGTCAGCAAAGCATAACCGAGTTCTTCGCCCGCAACCCACCACAGCCAGCCCAAGCCAGTGATAGTGACAGAGACAGTGATGATGACTTTGAGGGATTTGTCAGGGAGGCACTAGTAAGTGTGGATGACACTGATGAAGACTCACCTGAGGGCCAGTAGCCTGCCCTCTGCCTCGGAACCAGCCTCCATTCCCGTACGCTGACCCATCTCTTCTACTAACCTAAGTGTTAACCCTAACATTGTTTTTTTCTAACCTAACCTACAGTATATTATTATCTTATTGATTGTTCCCTTCTATATTATGTGTGTGTGAATACCATCATAAAGTTAAGATGTCATTTTTACTAAAACGTACGTATTGTGTCGGGAAAAAGTGGAGCTTGGGGGTCGGCCCGGTCTCTATTTCAATTTATTCAATACGTTATGCTGTTCACTTTACGCGTTTCTCACTTTACACGGGCCGCCGTGGGTTCAATTGACCGCGTAAAGTGAGGATTCACTGTAGTTCCAATAATGGAGAGAAGTTTAAAGTTCAAAAGGGTCCTTTGATGGTATTTGTGTGCCATACAGAGAAATTTTGAAATATTTCCATAGAAAAAGCAAACAACAGAATTCTTCTTGACGCCGCGGTCACCCCAACCATCACCATCGTCTGCCAAACCAGAACTCTAATGAACCCCAACCATCAACATCACCTGCAGATCTGGAGACTGAAGCCGATGATCCATCGGCTTAAGAAATAAAAATCATTCCAGTTTCATCATTGAAGTCTTCTTCATAAATCACCGTCATCATAAGGCTTCACAACATCTACCATATCATCGTCATCATAGTTCCGCTACAATCACTTAACCATGGATCGGTGAGTACAGTAATATGAGTTTATAATACTTATCATTAATATTATTAATTGTTTATGGTATGTTAGTTCTACTATTGTCATATTTGTGCATTATGTAAATGTTTAAAAGGTATGAATTTCATGTGATGAGTCCATACGCAGCCACGATCCCGCCACCCCATTTTTCCCATAAGAAGTTAAGTTTGCCCTAAGCAATTTTGCCTAACACGCCATTTTCAAGGAACCTAACCCCCGCATTGGGCAAGGGTTCACTGTAATCATAAAAAAATTAAAATATTCAATTGCAGTACATCTGTACTTATCAAAGACAGTGTTATAACTCTGCCTAAGGTAATGTGTAAACAAAGTACGAAACACCTTCAGGAAGACTTATCAGTGCTTGGTATGAAATTGACTCAACAGACTTTGTTTTGAGAAGTTTGTGTTCATGACTTAATTTTTTTTCCTTAACCCTTTAGATGTGATTTGCACACATTAGCATTTTATTCTGGCTACTACCAGACGATTTTATTCAGCATAGGGAACCTTCCTCATCCAAAGGGATAATCTATATCATTATACTGTATTATTGCAAAATTACACAAAAGAGAACTTTCTGATACAGAGGAATAAATATTATTACAGTCTTGAAGTCAATTAATCAGTCAAGAACCTTCGGATTTATTTTCTGCTGAAACTTCATTACATGGTAATAAGGCCTGTACAGTATAACAGATCCCTCTATCAATACACCTTGTCTCATGAACTCCATTATACTGTAGGTGTGGTTTAATTTCGGTCATGTAGTTTCATATCAATTGCAGCCATTCTGTCAATCCAGCTTAATTTCAGTCTTAGTCTATTTATGCTCACTGATCACTGCAAACTACAGAGTACTGTAATCACAAAATTTTCATCTCATCATTTTTCCTTCAAAATGTATAATTATCCACCCTTCAAACTTCGACTTTCAAGAAATACCACCTTCAATTACTTTCAGTCTGGAAAACGAATATGTTAATATTACTATATAAATACTGGGCATCAGGTACCCATGGTTTTGGATCCATGGAACAGTACTGTACATGATTTGTAGTGGAGATGCAGGAGTCAGACACATACTCGTACATCCAGAACGAGACATCAAAAAAAATCAAAATTTTGCTAATGTCATTTCAATTCAGATACGTTGCAAGTCTTACAATCAAACTCAGTCCAATTAATGTGACATCAAACAAGCCACCACAAGTGCTTCCAGGGTTACAGGAGAGAGGTGGTTGAAGCAAACATAGAATAATCCTTCCAAAGTCGAGTGAAAGTAATGCAATCCATTTATTTTTCTTTAGATTAATCATGCATACTAATTTCTATTATGATCTTCCACTGTGATATTCTGCACAGTATTAGCCTTACTTAAAAACAAAAACTGTGGTTGAGAATTCAGTGACTCAAGAAGTGTTAGCACAAGGATCTCAGATTCTCCACCCAAAATTTGCTTTGTGGATGCCCAGAAACAAACCATTACTTATTCACTTGTCCTTGCCACTTTCTGTACTGGATTGCAAGTGTAACATTCATTCTTTTCTTTCATGTACAGAATATTTTTTAACAAGTAAATGGTAATCTCACTTACCTTTATAAAATCTTTAAACATGCAAAAACTAAGTTCAGTGACATGTTGCCCAGTAAATAGAAAATGTTCTGTAAATAAAGAGATCTGGAGAAATATGCAAGATACAATCTGTTCACTGAGTTGCAAGAAACTATATTTATAATACAGTACTGATTAGAGTATGGGAGGTTCAAGTTAGTTTTTTGTAAAATTCTTCCCAATTACTTTACAAGTGCCACTTACTCTATTACTACTACAGCTTTCCATTGTCTCACCATCAAACATATAAGAAAGAATTTCTACCAATATACTGTATCTCCCTCCCACTTCAAATTAACAATACTGCCCCTTATAACATTTCTTGAATCCCAAATTACGGGCCCTTATGATGGGAAAGGAATTATAAGAAAAAAATACACACCATCTTCCAAATCACTTGGCCGGATCCCAGATACTTCTGTTCGGTAATCTATGACTTCTTCCATAGGCTGGACAAACTTGTCATATAACACCTTACCAAAATGGTTGACAACTGACACTCTTGCTAGTATTGAGTCTTGACCATTCATTCCGACTCCCACCATCTCACAGTCCATTGCAATAACTTTTGTTACACTATAGGGAATAAAGAAAAAAAAAACATTATATATGATAATACAGATTGGATTTTGTGTTAAAATTCAACGTAACTTGGCATAAAGGGCTATAAACCCCTGAAAACTTCACCTGGCTCTCCCCAGTCTCTATACAACTGCTTGCAATATCTAGAAAATATAAAATCAGCACCTACTACAGGTATTTCAAACACTCATATTACCACTAAATGGATGGTTAACTCAAAGGACATTGTAGCCAGGCAATTACAAGAGAAATATCTAGGGAAGGAGAGAAATTTGTACTTAATACTGTATTTGTAAACTCAGAGGAGGCATTTGACAAGGTACCATATGTCGTGGTAAAGTGAGCAACAAGAAATCTTGGAGCCGAGGAGTACTGGTACCATATTTGAGTAGTTATGGTACAGTATTATATGAGGTCTCACAAACATCTGTGAGAGTTAATGATAAAAAAGTGTCATATTTGAGGAGAAAGTAGGGGTCCAAAAGAGGCCAATCTTGAGCCCCCTTCTGTTTATCATGGTGCTGTAGACAATATCAAGGAAGTTTAGGACTGGCCTGTCCTGGGAGTTGGAGTATGCTTATGACTTAATGCTGATAGCAGATAGAAATTTAAGAAATGGAAGAAGGGAATAGAGTCAAAGGGCCTGAAAGTGAATATGGTGAACATAAAAGTAGTTATTTGTGGTGTGGGTGAAGGACCCATGGTGGGAAGTAGAAAAGGTTCATGTGTTGTCTGTAAGAAATATGTTGACAGCAACTCAATAAGTAGTGGAAGGTGAGTACACAAGAGGTGCAGTGGAATAGAAAGCAAACTGCAGGATGCTCTTGACTTGGTCTGTATGTGCAGGTAACTATGTGTCCATAATAAAGTTGGAAAAACTCAACATTGGGGATATGTCCCTGGAGTGTGTTGATGAGTTCTGTTACCTGAGTGACATGATCAGTACTAGTGGAGGTGCTGAAGCATGCTGAGTTGTAAGTCAGAAGTGGCTGTAGAAAGTTTAGAGAGCTGCTGCCTTTATTGATAGCACGAGGATCTTTCCTCCAAGTGTTAAGGAAGAATGTATGCGGTTGGTGTTACAAGTGTGAAGTTGTATGGCAATGAAACACGGGCAGTTAAAGAAGAACTATATTTGAGTGAGATAAAATGAGAATGGTGAGATAGATGTGTAGTGTGATACATAAAGACAGGAGGCCTTGTTCAAAGCCAAGAGGGCAGCTGGATATTGAGAGTATATATTCGCAAAGTTCTATGTAGAGGAAGGCTGAGAGGGTTTGAGCATTTAGAAAGAATAAAGGAGACCAATTTAGTCAAGATGTGCATGAGCCTAATTCAATGTGGAGAGGAGAGCCAGGAGTAAGCCAAGAATGACATGGGGAGAGACTGTAAGAATTAACATTAGAGTTAGGAACCTGACGATAGAAACTGCAGGAGACCATGCAGCATGGAGAGCTGCCATCAAGTAATCACAGCATTCCCACATAAGCATTGAAAATGGCTTTAACACATTAATGATGATGAGGCAAACCTGCAGTAAATTCCTTTAACATTTATTACCCAGCTGCATATAGCTTCCAATGTAAAGTAAATAAGAGAAAGCAGCAGTTTTATAACCTGTATCTCATAGTTATGAGGGTGAGCTCGGTGACACAGCATTTGCCTCACAAATAGAAGGCCAGAGTATTGATTCATGGCAGAATGGAGAACCACTTTTCCTCCTTGCCCACTGAGTAATAAAATAAGTACACTATAGGGTGCACTTTGGAGGGATAGCATCCTGCCAAAGGGACAGGGTAACCTGTTAACTACTCGATGCAGTAAGACCTTAGATATCCAGAATGCATGGGGAATTGAATGTGCCAGATAATCGTTTTTTTGGGGATGCTCGAGTTACTCCTAAAAATACACATCTCAAACTCAAGAGTATCATCATAGTATATATAATAAAAGGAATAAAAGGTCATGGTAAATATATTATAAAAGGAATAAAAGGTCATGGTAAATATATTATAAAAGGAATAAAAGGTCATGGTAAATATATTATAAAAGGAATAAAAGGTCATGGTAAATATATTATAAAAGGAATAAAAGGTCATGGTAAATATATAATAAAAGGAATAAAAGGTCATGGTAAATATATTATAAAAGGAATAAAAGGTCATGGTAAATATATAATAAAAGGAATAAAAGGTCATGGTAAATATATTATAAAAGGAATAAAAGGTCATGGTAAATATATAATAAAAGGAATAAAAGGTCATGGTAAATATTTTATAAAAGGAATAAAAGGAAATGCTGGATGGATGAGGTGATGATAGTGGTTACACCAGCACAAACATTCAAGTAGACAGAACTGTAATGGTGGTGCTCAATGTGTTAAGCCAACATGGAGGATGTACACAGTGCCTCCAGAGGCTAGAAATGGAAGCAGAGGCGAAGTGCTGCCAAATTCAAACTGGAAATTGACCCCACCAAAAAAAGGCTGATTGCCTGAGAGTTCCAGATGGTTAAGTGCTGGATATCTGAGGTTATACTGTACTGAAATTCTGGAGATTAGCAACTGCCTGGCCATCCCACAACACAGCACAGCTAGGTTGGGTAAATTGTAACTTTATCTATGCTCACATTCTTAATCTTAACAATAATGGTCTTCACAATATAATTAGCTACAAACCTATAGGAAATAGCTAAAGTCTCAAGAAAAATCTGGAACATACCCTTCAAATGACTTTGTTTTCACAAGGGCCGCAGTGTGTCCCGTATCATCAGATCTTGAATCTTTAGTAACTTCTTTGTGAGTCATTCCTCTCTTATTCTCCATAACTATGTCTTCTTCTGCCTCATAGAGAAGAATTGGATCAACATTATCAAACCAGATATCTAACTTTTCCTTTTCCTGATCTGCTAATGACACATTTCCAATATTCTTTTTCTTTTTATGTTTCTGTGTATTCTCATTTTCACCACCAACTTTACTTTTCTGTTTATTTATCTTCCCTTCTTTTGTGCCAGAGGTTGGTGTTTCTGTTACCTTTTTGTCTTCCTTGGTGATAATCTGCAATATGAAGTAAGACATTAAGCCGACAAAATACTGTATAAGACAAAATTTCAAAACCTGTAATATTAGTCAAATTTTCTACATCCACACATCATAAAACTCTCCCACCACTCAAAGACCTGAGAATTCATTGTCATGCAAATACTGCATACCATAACCCACTTAACTGTTACTCATCTAATATCACCTAAGTTTTTCAATTCCAATGCCCTGCATTATATAATACAAATCAATTCTCTTTCCATACCAAAACATCAATGTTTTTTTCATAGTGCTATCTTAATCTTCTGAGGACAATTCCTGCAATAGGCATGGGATGTAGGGTCCCATATATATACAGTAGTACCCCGCTTAACGCGGTCAATTGAACCCACAGGGTACCGTGTTAAGTGAAAACCGCGTTAAGTGAACAACAGAACATATGGGATTAATTCCAATAGAGACTGGCCCGACCCCCAAACTCTACTTTTTCGGACACAATACCTATGTTCTAGTAAAAATAACATCTTAATTTTATGATGGTACATGCACACAATTAATACTTAAGAGAAATAGAGAAATACAGTCGCCAAGTTAATGTCCATTCAAATAATGGACTCAACTCCCTCCCCCTCTTCTCACACTACACTGCTGGCTCTTCCCTCTCTGAGAAATTTTGGGGGGAAAACCACTGGATTTTAATAAATAATACCTGAAACTAAAGTTAGGATAATATAATTGACATTGCTGGATTCCTTGTAAGACCAGGAATATTTTGAATATAAATGTCATATATTTTGCACAAAAGATAACATATTTACTCAGAGTAAACATTATATCTAAAATTTGTATGTCTAATGCAAAATCTATGATGTTTATATTTAAAATGATCATCAAATTGTAAGAATTCCAGCAATGTAAATTATATTCTGGCCGGGTAATTTGTATGAATTTTATGAGCTAAATAAAAAAAAATTATACTTCACCGCGTATATGGGTAGATGAACCGCGTTAAGTGAAAATTCGGTTCTGGCGAGGCACCACATATGAAATCGCGTTAAGCGGGGTAATACTGTATGTATATATATATATATATATATATATATATATATATATATATATATATATATATATATATATATATATATATATATATATATATATATATATATATATATATTATATATATATATATATATACTATATATATTTCATTAGCCCAATAAAGCACGCGGACTTCTACATACAATCAACACCTCAACCCGCCAGGATTCTAACCCACGGCCCACAAGCCTATGACTGTGACCGGGGAACGCTAACCACTGGACCACCAGGATACTAAAAGCAGTCCTAGACTTTGTTATACAGTATTTCACACAAAGCCTGTTCAACGAGCTTATGGCGCCGTGAACCTCTAATGGGGACCACCCGTATCACGTAGGTGGTCGTTGAACAAGCTTTGTGTGAAATATAACAAAGTCTAGGACTGCTTTTAGTATATATATATATATATATATATATATATATATATATATATATATATATATATATATATATATATATATATATATATATATATATATATATATATATATATATATATATATATATATATATATATATATATATATATATATATATATATATATATATATGGGTGAAATTTTTTACAATACTCTACTGTAGACTTTTTGTTTAAATTACTATACCTCCTTAAGTTGCTTCCAGTTTGCTGAATAATCATCTGGTTTCTTGAGGATGAGCACTGGTTTGAAACCTGTAGTGTTTTCTGCCGAGGTCACTTCTACTGCTCCTTTGCTCTTTTTCTTCCTCCTCCTCTTCTTTGCTGGCTGCAGTGAATCTGAATTTCCCTCAAGTTTACTTATAACTGGATGACTTATTTGTATACTTGAGCTTGTCTCACTGGCACTCTGATTAGTACTACTCTTTACTGGCTTTTTATTTTTTCTCCATTTCCATTTCTTCTTCTTTGAATATGATTTACCATCACCTAATTCTTTTCCATTTTCATTTTGTTTGGGTGGAATATTTCTTATTAAATCATTAGTGTTAGTCTTAACTATTTGACTTGCATCATTACTGATGGATAATTTTGATTTCATGATTGCAGCTGTTGCCATTTTAAATGTATTACTGTACCTTTGTCACACTCACTATATCTTTTCCCTTCTTTATAATTTTTGTGCTACTTCTCTTCAAAATAGCATGTCTTTTAAGTTAGTGAATGAGTGGCTCTGTTATAAGTTGAACACTGTGCAGTACTGGGCTGCTTTTCCTGGAGAACAACCTAAAACAAAGGAAAATTAAAAATCAATGAAAACAAAAAATCTCTGCTAATCTGTACAGCATACAGTCGCATAGTGTTGACAATTTGTCACATAGAAATGAATATTACAACTGTGGGATGAGTTTCACTTAAACTGCCATGTCATTGACACTAGCAGTTGTATGTGACATCACAGTATTGTACAATGAAATGTAACAAGTCATTTGAATATGATAATGAACATGTAACCAACATCTTCTTATTAGATTTGAATATAAAAGAAAATTGAACAGAATTACCTGTACTTTTTTCCATTTAGAAAATGTGCAATTGTGCATCGCAATGTATGAGATAATATAGTGGAATAGAAAATTGCAAACAATCTAATCAAATATATTATTTATTAAAAGTACAATGCCAGTTTACTGTCCGATTGCATCACTCTACAGTCATGCGCCAGTTAACGTCCGACCGAACAACGTCCGATGGCATATACGTCCGTGCCCCCCCCCCCAAAAAAAGTGACGCCTGCTGGACCACCACTCCACGACCCCCTGACGGAGACACGATGATCCTCCCCATACTGGTCGATATTATGTGTTAAAGGAATATGCTTCCTTACTTAGGCTTTTTTTAAGCATTTGCCTACAGGTGTAATGTTAACCTACATCTATTGAGGATAAAATCTTTCACCTACAAATTGACAATAACACATTTGCTGTAATCAGACATATCTAGTTGCCTCAACAATTGCAACCCCAGTTGCAATTGGGGTTGCAATTTCAAATTCTGTGGCATTACTAAAAATAACTAAGTCTCTGGTGCACTCTAAGATTAAGAGAGAAAATGGAGGACTCAGGCGTCCTGATGTGAGAGAAAACAGACTCGTATGATGGGGGACCAAATAAAAAAAGCATAGCTACATGTTTTGTGAACTACAGTATTAAGTGTACCCTTTTCATCACTTTGTAATAAACCTAGCCATGCCTATGTGTGTTTATGATATTTACCATAACATTATATATATATTTAGTGGGTATAAATGGTCGTAAAATGGGAAACTTGGGGTTGGGTCTTGGGTGCCTGGAACCAATTAGAATAAATCCCATAGGTTCTGTACTTTTGTTATCGGCGGGGTCCCAATTAGGCGCGATAACCAAGGGATGACTGTACTGTACTGTATATACTTGTGACACTGGCCAGCTGCTTCTGGTGTTATGGTACAGGGGTACCAAGTGACAGCACTAGGATCCCGCTTCCTCTATCAAGGAATAAACAATTAAAATTTAAATTGAAAAAAAAAACATTCAAATAATGGGACCTAGCGAACCTAAATGGCCCTAGAGCGGGCACAGTCACGTATGCATGGCGTATTCTTATAGATTGTGCTGCCAGGCGTACGTTATCTAGTGAATTTAGTCAATATTGTACAGTAACAATGGACCTAAGTGCAAACCTGTATTGTACATGTACTAAATGATTACGGTACTAAAATTGTTATGTCTATTGCAAATATAGCTTGTTTATACAGGTATTCAAATAAATTACTATCTTACAAGAATCCCTCCAATGTAAGTTATATTCACCCAGGTCGTTTGGGTGGCAAATTATGAGAAGAGCTTAGTCACTCTTAAGTAATGATAAATAAACACACAGGCAGGCCTTCAGCGCCAACTGTCAAATCTTATCTCAAATAAATAAACAAACAAACGCCAGACATTGTCACCTCACCTCCCGCCCCCTCTTCCCACCCTGGTGATTTCTTTATGTTTATTTTATATAATATCTCAGACTAAAGTTAGGAGATTATAATTTGCATTGTTGAAATCCTTGCAAAACAGAGATTAATTTGAATATAAGCGTCATATATTTTGCTCAAGATATAAAAAATGTAGTACGAAAGTGTACAACACTGTAGCACATTTTATAAAAAGTTTTTCAACTGTATTTTCGGGTAGATTTACATAAATTTCTTCATTTATTTTCATCCATTTACATGCACACACCAAACTAAAAGAAACATTATATTCTCCTAGGTCACATCACTGGCATTTTAAAATGAGAGAAGCTTAGTAGGACTGTTAAATAAACACACAAGAGACCTTCACCTCAACCCCACCACCCCCAACCCCTCGCTGGGTGGCGTGGCTGGTTCCCTCCCTCCCTCCCCCCTCCCCCCCCCAGCCAGGCTTTTAGGCTTACAGTTTTTATCTTATATAATATCTCAGACTAAAGTTAGGAGATTATAATTTGCATTGCTGGTATCCTTGCAAGACAGCCAATAATTTGAATATAAACGTCATATATTTTGCTCAAGAGATAAAAATTCTTGTACATTAGTGAACAGTACTGAAGTACATTTTATAAAAAAAAGTTTTTCACTGTATTTTTGGGTAGAGTTACATAGATTTCTTCATTTATTTTCATCCATTTACATGCACACACCATACTAAAAGAAACATAATAGAAATAAATGACGTTAGTGCAAAGCTGGAGTGCACATGTACTAGTGATTATGGTACTAAAATTGACTTTATTCATTACCATTATAGCATGTTTATGTGTTCAAATTAATCAGTATGTTAACATGGGAGAACATAGAATGGAGAAACTGCAGCGGGCCCTATTGGCCCATACTAGGCAGTCCGTTTACCACCCAACCCCTATTGCTCACATGAGCATCCAACTATATTTGAAGCAGTTCAAGCGTATTGAGTTAGCCATTGATATTTGGTAACTTGTTCCATTCATCCACTACTCTGTTTCCAAACCAGTGTTTACCTATTTCACGCCTAAATCTAAATTTGTCTAATTTAAAACCATTATTACGAGTTCGCTCCTGGTTGGATAGTTTGAGTACCTTTGTAATGTCCCTTTGTTTAGCCCTGCCTTCCACTTATACACCTCTATCAGGTCGCCCCTCGCTCTACATCTCTCAAGGGAGTGCAAATTAAGATGCTTTAACCTGTCTCTATACTCCAGGTTCCTAATGCCCAGGATTAGTCTTGTCATTCTCCTCTGAATTCTTTCCAAGGATTCTATATCCATTCTGTAATAAGGTGACCAGAACTGAACTGCGTAATCCAGGTGTGGTCTCACAAGAGCAAGATACAGATTTAGAATGACCTCGCTAGTCTTGTAACTAACACTCCTTTGTATGAACCCAAGTACTTTATTAGCCTTGTTACGAGCAAAAACACATTGTTTACTTGGCTTAAGGTTCCTACTTATCATTACTCCTAAATCTCTCTCGCAGTCGGATTTCTCTATGGCATCGTTGTTCATCTGGTATCTGGTTTCCCTGTTTACATCTCCTATAATGAGTACTTTACATTTGTCGACATTGAATTTCATCTGCCATTTTTCAGACCATTCGAAAAATTTGTTTAGATCTTCCTGTAGTTTTGCCGAGCCCTCGTCAGATTTGATAACACGTCCTATTTTAGTGTCATCAGCAAATTTACCTATGTTGCTGTCTATGCCGATATCTATGTCGTTTATGTATATAATAAATAATAATGGTCCAAGTACTGAGCCTTGGGGAACTCCACTTGTGACGTTGCTCCAATGGGACTTAGTGCCGTTGATGCTCACTCGCTGTTTCCTGTCCTGTAACCACGCCCTAATCCATTTAAGGATGTCACCTTTGATGCCATGAGCTTCTACCTTTCTAATTAGTCTTTCGTGGGGGACTCTGTCGAAGGCTTTGCTAAAGTCGAGATATACCACATCATAATTGTGCCCCTCGTCCACCGATTCGAAAACTGATGAAAAGAATGTTAATAGATTCGTTAGGTAAGAACGTCCGCTTGTGAAGCCATGCTGGGAATCATTGATCAATCGGTGCTTCTCCAGGTGATTTCGAATAGAGTTTGAAATGATTGCTTCCAGTAATTTGCCTACTATTGATGTAAGACTGATTGGGCAGTAGTTAGAGGATAGTGATCTATCCCCCTTCTTGAAAATCGGTATTACATTTGCTATCCTCCAGGATTCTGGTACTACACCTGTTTTTAAGGACATGTTAAACAACTTTGCTAAGGGCATACTAAGCTCTTCCTTACATTCCTTTAATACTCTGGCAAATATCTCATCGGGACCAGGTGACTTATAAGGCTTTAGTTTGTCTATTTGCTTACTAACATCGTTACTAGTCACTACTATCTCACTTAATTTGTTTTCTTCACTATCTCTGAATAGAGTCGGTGCCTCGGGTATCATGTTTAAATTTTCGGTGGTGAAAACTGTTGAAAAATATTTATTCAAATAACTGCTCATTTCTCCGTCGTTATCAGTGAGCTCGCCGGAGTCTGACCGTATTGGTCCAATCTTTTCACGTGTTTTAGTTTGATACATTTGGTAGAATCCTTTGGGGTTTGTCTTTGCCTCCCTTGCTATCCTTACCTCATTATTCCTCTTTGCTTTCCTTATCTCGGTTTTAACCCTACTTGCCAATACCCTATAATAGTCCCGGAGGTGAATTTCGCCACGATTTATCCTTCTACCTATAGCCTTCCTTTGGCCAATGATGTTCTTTAAATAATTATTTATTCATTTAGGGTCATTGTTGTCTGATCTGAGTTTTTTGTATGGTATGTTCTGCCTTTGTGCATTAAGTAACTCACTATTTAAATTGTCGTGGAACTTGGCAATCTCAGATCTCGTTATCAGGTCGGTGTCATCTGTCAGGTTCACGGTCAAGCGCGACACCCCCTCTCTCAGCTGCCTCTTTAAACTGTCAAAGTTTGCCCTTCTGAAATCTGGTACTTTAGTGGAATTTTCCTTACGTCTGCCCTGAAAATCTAACTGGAATCGAATTTCTTTGTGATCGCTGTTTGCAAGTTCGTTCCCTACCTCGACATTGCTAATTAGGTTTTCTCTGTTCGACAGAACTAAGTCCAGTATATTATTACCCCGTGTGGGTTCGGTTATATGTTGACTTAGGAAACAGTCCTGGATCGTCTCGAGAAAATCCTCTGATTCTGAGTTACCCGTAAGGTCAGTCCAATCTATTT